GTGTCTCAAACTTTTGATGCGGTTGCTCATTGTCTGATTAAACGCAGAATGTGCAAAAAGGTTTTCACATGCATGCTTGTGTATCGTGTTGCCTGTTTGGGGTCTCTTTTCAGTGTTGTACCAAATCACTGGTGCCTCCTCCTCCCTGAACTTTTCTGTCAGCACCTTTGCTGCCAAATGTTTTCACATTTCACCCATGGGTCTTCTTTGACCTAAACCCCCATTCACACATACTGGGACTGCTGCGTTGCACACATTTCTAAACACATCACTTAAAATGAGAGTCAAAAGTACCCAAGTATATTGATGTTAAGCTGTTTTACAATGAAAGAAAATCCTTTTTAGTACAGTATGAGTCCTGTGCTCTGCTGCGTTGGACACTTGTTTTGCACAGGTGGTTGGGGACCTAAAAGGCCATGATAATGATGGTGCTCTCCCTCCTCTCCCTGCATTCATCTTTTACTCTCTCTTTCCCTTTTTCTTTCCATTTCGCTGGATAACATTTAGTGTTGTGGCTCATTGATTGGCGGCTATCTGGAGAAAGTGCCGCCTCACTATGCAAACAGTTTTGAAAGCAGCAGATTTGAAAGTAGCATTAGATGTCCGGATCATTAAGTTTAGAGCATTGTAACTCTCCTCAGAGAAGTGTCCCTACATTTCTTGTGCACTAAGATTGACCAAAGTACACACACACACACACACACACACACACACACTGTTCTTTCGTACACACACACGCACGCACGCACTCACGCACGCACGCACGCACGCACGCACGCACACACCAACCGATGCCAGCCAGTTTCCAGAGGGAGCGAGTGATTAGCATGCAAATCTGTAAAGGCCTATTTATTCCATCTACCTCTTCAGCCTCTCTCTGTCACACACACACACACACACACACACACACACACACACACACACACACACACACACACACACACACACACACACACACACACACACACCTACACACTGACAAACACGGCAACACTGTTCTAATGAGGTGATGACCAGTCCTATGTTATAATTGCCTCAAACTCCTTTTAATTTCGTTTGAGCGTATTAATCATACATAGAGTTATTTAAAAGTGCATAAATTAATCTTAGATTAAACAGACCCTTGAAAGGCTTCAAACAATTAAAGAGTTCGGTAGAATTTCCCCTGGGTTTAGGCCATTTCTATTTGAGCAGAGCCGTTGCAGGTGATTATCCCATTTTGATGGCCAGACGGTGATTAATGTAACTTCTAAATGAGTCCTTCCCCCATCTCACCTCTGTCCATGCAGCGCTAAGGGGGGAGGTGAAATCACCTTCATTGACCTAACTAAAGATTAGTTGTTGGATTTTTAACTCTTTAACAGGTTTCATACTTAATTTATGTTGCAGGGAATGTATTCATTATTAGGTATGTATGCCTGTGTGACAGACAACACATGTATCCCTTGTTTAATCAATATATCTGGGTGTCTGTTCACCTGCATGTGTCAGCATCAAAGCAAGACTTGAGGCAGTTTTCATTCAATAAAATGGTTGTATGTTGGGTGGAGGGGCCGCAAAATAAACCTGCATGCTTCATATTTGCCGTTGTGGACAATTAAAGCAGTGTATGGTCCAGCAAATCTGAGCGTTGCTATTTTTATTTAGTTTGTAACTACAATTACATAAGAGGAAAGGACAAATAAGTTTAACTCTGACTAGATGAGGTCCATTTGAAAGCTGTTCTGGAGGTTTACATCGTATCTCGTCATTTAAAGCAGATTGAATTGTAGAACACCTTGAGGATGTCTTTCATGTAGGTTAAACGTTTAGATTGATACTTGACTTTGGAAACATAGTTTTAAAGAAACAGTTTCTACTCAAGGATCATTTATTGGCTTTCCATCTAATCACACCATCTAATATGTTTACTTTGACTTCCTTTCTTGCCTGCCATCTTTTTTGTATGCTTTCTCTAGTGGTCACCTTTTCTCACTCTCTCTATTTATCTTTGGCAGGTAGCTTATCTGTGTGTTGTCCAGGGGAAATATTAAGTGAGAGAAAAATCAGCCACGAACAACAGCTTCAGACCAGTTAGTTCTATAGTGTGTGTTTTGAGTGAGTGATGCGTTCCCACAGTGTCTCATCATGTCTACATGTACTTTGTATGTGAGTGTGTATGACAGGCCTTACACCTTCATCCAGGTCAGATTCCAGCAGATCTCTGTGGCCTGTCGGAGTTAATTTCTGGAGCAGAGGTGGAGAGCAGGATTTTAAAAAGCATCACTCTTGAGTTCCTTCTTTATTTCTGTATCACTCCCTCTCTACTGAGGCAAGAAAGAATGATTGATGAGATGGGTATTCAGCACATAGGGGCACCCAGGAGCGTCCACTACACCCGTCTCATAGTGACACACACACACACACACACACACACACACACACACACACACACACACACACACACACACACACACACACACACACACTGATATGAGAGTAATTAACCTCAGACTGTGTTAACCCCAGCTGCCCATTAGAAGGACAACAGGATTGATGGTGCTCCCCCAGTCCTTTACAATCTCTTTACATTCTCTCTCTTTGGTGGATCTTATAAAGGCATCTTGACCCTACAGTAACTTACAGATGTATTCACTGTATTCAACCTTCATGTGACTTTATTTTGATATAATGTACAAAACAAATTTAACAAATGTTCCACTGTGACTGCAAATAGACTAAATGAATCCCAGGAGAACCGTCACTATCCGCCTGTCCTACTTCTAATCTCGTCCGCACCAGTTTGAATGTAGCTGGGGGGGGTGTTTAATGTTGAGGAAACAGCTGACATCATCACTTCTCACTTTGAAATCTGAGTTAAACTAGTGATATCACTGTTGCAGTGGGATGATGTTTTTTAGAAGAGCCATGTGTTAAGAAACATGACAGAATATAATTTGCATTTGTATTTGTTAAAATATTTCTTTATATCGAGCTTGGACTTTTGTTTGTCGTAAGCAAAACTACGGAATTATTTATAGTTTTTTTTTCTTTGTGATTAACTTGAGGTCTGTTATAAATAACGTTGAAGCCTAACTTCATTAGTCAGAAAAGAAACAGACTAATGTTTATAAAGCAACATAATATTTGACCTGATTTAAAATATGTGTTTTGTAGTGTTACTTTCACGTTAAAAGTTAATATTTGAAGCGTATCTAGATTTTGGAACAGACGATATAACAATGTTATAAAGACACCATTTTATTTTTTACCAAGGATTCACAGCCTTGCAAAGCACAAAATAATTGCGGTGAATGTTTAGGCTGACCAAAAAAATACGGTTTCAGTGTCTTTTTTTGTGTTAATCAAAGGGGCTTATGGCTGCATTAGATATTTAGTTATTTAAACTTCCATTCGCTACTTTGTTCCATTTTCGAAGATTTTGGGACTATAACACAGCTGATACAGATTGTTAAAGTTTGACAGTAACATATTAGCAGCACAACCAATGAATCCGTACAGATCCGTACAGACAAGAGCTGCAGGTTGTGGCTATGCAGAGAGGCAGATTAATATCAGTGGTGTGAGTTACCATAACGCACAACATTAATAAATACGATACATGGTGTCTGGGCAGTTTAAGTTGGAGCTGAACTACTATTAACGGTGACAGTCTCTTGTTGTTGAGGACACACATCGCTGAAATCAGTGTTGACATGTTCATTTGAACTGGCCGGCCACAGCGTTGTTTATTTAATTGGACATCTAGACAGTACAAATCAAATTCATGGTCAGCCTCAGTTGAAGTGTTCCATTTAAAACCTCCTCCCTCTGACCTGTGTGACCCTTGCCCCCCCCCCCCCCCCCCTGCTGGGATTGGGACTGTTGTCATTGAGATATCACAAGTGACACCTCAGTGCAGCAGTAACAAGTAACTCTGCCAGCCTTTAACAAACTTGATGAGCTACCGATCCACAGAGAACGTGTTCTGTCGAGAGCTCATTTATTGGCACTGGTGGTGGAAATCAGTCCAAATTAAGACTGTAGGAGAAAGAATTAAGATCATGTTCAAAGGCATTTTCAAATAGTCAACATCGAGGTTTTTTGTCACAGCCTGTTTTATTACAAAGCTTAATTTTACAACCTGTTATGACTCATGTCGATCATTAAACTGCACAGATATTTCTTTAAAATGCCCTGACAAGCCATTACTTAAACGTTCAGCATTTAAAAGCAAATCTGTTGCACATGAATATTTAGGAGGGTTAAATGGTGTTCCTGTTTAGTTTATTTGTATTTTATTAGAATCATGATTTAGAATAATTATACTAAGTAGAACTTAACCAAACACTTCACATAAAGGTGTGATAATGTGTGTGGCTCCAATCTGTTTGATAATATAAAATTATATTGCAGAATAAACTTTTGATAGCTGTTTTTATGGAAAGCTCATTACTTGTGTTTATACTTCAGTCCGTTTTTTGGCAATTATTCTGAAGGTCATACGTAAGGTCTGAGATTAGTGGCAGAAGATGTTAATTAATATATTCATCATTTCCTTGCATCAAAAGATTAATATTTGTTACAATAGATAAGTTCAAGGATGAGCTTTTCCAGCACATTTTGTGAATCCAAAGAGTAAGGGTGAAAATGGCTGGTATTTTTTTTTAGTTATAATGTCTAAAACTAATTGGAGTGAAGGCTAAATAATATAAAAGGGAATTGTCTTGATTCGTTCAAAACCCATAACTTAATAATAAAACTTTAATAGCAGATGTCATTACATGCCATTTCATTTAATATCAAAATGGTCATAAAACTCTGCCTTTTGAATTCCTTCTGACAGTTATTGTTCTCTTCTGATAGTTTCCCCCCCCAAATAAAACCTTTTAATGCACTAATTAAATTCCGGAAATGTGTTTTTCTTAATTATAAAATAAAAACTAACCCAAACTTTCAGTGTCTGTTGTTTTCTTAATAAAAGTGATTTTACCACTTTTGTCCCTCTCTTTACTTTTCAGGAGCATTCCTTCATCACACAGTTTAACGACGGTAATGCGGAGGTGGTGTCGATGTGGGTGTGTCGGTGCCTGGAGGAGAGGCGAGCTCAGCAGGGTCTCTGACGTCCTCCTGCTATCTCCCCACAATGCACCAGGGCGTCTGATCCCAAACCTTCAACACTTACAGAAGGCTTCAGGATCACGTACGTCCAAATGGACTGTACAAGTGACTCATGGACTAAAAATGACTAGCTGTTACAAACTTTCTGTGAGTAATTCTCTATTTAACAGCACTCATGCGCTGGGACAATGAGGAGCTTCTTTGACTCTTATCTCTGCATTTAAAAAAAGTGCAGCATCTGCAGCTTTGCCCCCACCTTTTTTGGGAGTAAGACAGTCTGATGGATGGAGAAAACGGTTAGATTTAAAGGATCAGCGACAACCTTCAAATGCATGAGACTGCAATAGGCCGGCAGAGTAATGCCCTGATTCTGGGATGGTATCTCAAATGACCCTCTCGTGCTTTACTGTTGAGCCCTCTAGTGAATGTTAAGGTTTCTGCCTGTGAGTAACGGCCCGTGTGTGTGCCTGGCTTCCCACTGGTGTCATTTATTACCTCAGAAAACTTAGGTTGTCACTAAAATAGCAAAACGTAACCTGTTTTTAATGCTTCCACTAGAATGTTGGTATCCAGTTATTCCCTAATCTTGTAAGGTCGGAGCATTACGTGGACACAAAGTTCTGTCTCTGTCCTAAAGGGGGGTTAAGTGCACAACAAACCGGCACAATCAATGAGATTTTAGCAGCTCTGAGGTGTTGGAATGCAATGAAATGTTAACATCCATCTTTAATTGGTTTTCAGGCTTACTAACCAAACAACTAATTGTTCTCATTTATTAACAGGAACCAGGCTCTCTCTCTGTTTAGACACATTTTGATGTTCTTTTATCTCTGTTTGCACAAACAAGCCTGACATTGAATGCCACTGAACAAACTACTTGAGAGTGAATTGTGCTGAAGCAGTTTTCCACGTTTATTCACCAGCTTTTATATTATTAGAATCCATTAAGAATAAGAGAAACTATACACAAAAGCAGAAAATGTAACAGACACCATATCTCTTCTTCTCCTCGCTGTATAAACCAACACCTTTTGTTCATTTAAATTATTGTTTCATCCCGCTTTCTAACCAGTAAATCCTTACTTTAGCAACATATGTCACGTGCTGAACAGAAAGTATGCTATTTTATTGAATTGCCAAATGAGATTAGTTAATATACTATCAAGGGAAACGTTTAATGGAGTGCACTTAACACCAAAGACCACTGAGGACCCAAAAGGTGAAATATACCTTGTGTTTCTTTAGTGACTTAAAGGTGGGGTATGTAATTTTGGAGAAACCAGCTTGAGTGCGCTAGAATTTGAAAATACACAGCCGGAACAAATCTGCCACTTCCTTACAGAGCCCCTCCTCCAACACACACGAACGTGCACATGACCAATGAGGGCACGAGATAAGTTTGTGCACAGATGTAAGGCTGATAGGCAGGTAGGCCATCCAGTTATTTTAGCCGGGCCAGCTAAAATGATTGGTCGTGCTTTTTACAGAACTACAGCTTCCACAGATGACATGTTTTAATGGATTTTTTGTCAAAGCACTTAAGATATTCATTGCTATCGGGATGTTAAGAGCATTCCATGGAATATAACAAAAAGTGTATCTCGAGCCGGTTTCTCAAACTTACCTACCCCACCTTTAAGCATAATGGGTTAAATGATAAATGGTTTTAATGATTAACTGTTGAAATGTATAGAGTTTAAGTGCAATTAAATGTGATTTCTTCCATAAAGGAACTGTAAAACATATCCCACTGTGACAGGATATAATGACAGTTTATCAGACAAGGCTTAAAGCACCAGTTATTATGTGCTTCTGTTGATGGTTTTAGTAAGTAGAGTATTTCTTGTTGGACTACTATTTTTAATATCAAGACTGAACATTGACTCTTTGAAGAAACATTGTAAAGATTCAACATTTCACGTTAGCAGGAGTGTTCAAATTGCAGTGTAATCGACGTCCATCTTTGCACATTAAGTTTAATTTGAAAAAGACCCAGTACAGAAATGTCGTGAATGCTAACCACTAAACTATGTAGCATGACAGTAATAATGCTACGGGGTGTCAGCACAGTCTGAAAGGTTTAAGTTTGGACAGATCACACATCTGGTGGTTAACTCCTTATTGCAGATTGAAAGGCCCAAAGTAGCTTACGATGTTGGAGGAAAACCTCTCATAGCGTCCTCTTCTAGCTGTGGTCAGAAAAAAAAGAAAAATGTTATTGAAACCAATATTAAACTGTATTTTTAATATGGTATCCATTTCCTTATGCGTTATCACAGCTAAGATAAACAGTTTGTGATCAATTATTCAAATGATTATGTCAATATTCCTGCCTGACACCTGAAATAGAGGCACTGCCTTTTTACTTAGGTATAGATTAATGAAATCTTCTGTGCAAGATGCCATTCATTTTCATAAATTAAAATACAAATATCAACTCACATTTTGAAAGTCCTCCAGTAGCTAAAATACATCAAGCATTTCCAAAAGTTGCACATTAACTAGAATATGTACTTTACATTATACCATATATATTGTTAATTATATTCATCTAATTGTCCAAATCTCTTCTATAAGAGATAGCTCTTTCATTAAGTTGGCCCTAAATGTAGATCAAGCTATAAATACTTGGCAGTTAAGGTGAAATAAGAAGTGTGTTTAGTGGCCCCTGGCTGCTCTTTAACACGCTGCAAATCTTAAATGTATTCTTGCAATTAAAAAATAAAACCAAAAAGAAACTTTGATTTGTATTTTACCAGATGTCCTGTAAGGTCCAAAAGCTAAGACTTATGTGTTGCCAATGTATTCACTGACTGTGTTGTTAAGTATGTATCTGCAGTATCAGTAGAGAATATTTATTATTTTTTTACTTTTCAGCTTGTGACCTTTGCCCTAATATTTGTCCTGTGTTGCTTTAACCATGAAGCATTCACAGCAGTGATGGGACGCAGCAGAAACATTAGTGCTGTGTATTACTGACTGATTTTGGCCTTCTGTATTTATCTGTGTGGCACATATTCCAGCCATTATGCACAAATAGAATAAAAGTATTTAAACATTACACTTTTGGTAAGTTTTGTTGTTCACTTGGTATTGTGAAATCAGTGAAAAACTGAGATTGTGCTCTCAAACTGAATAATGATGAAAGTCAGTTTGAGAGCACAATCTCAGTTCTTCACTCACGCTGAACTAATCACTGAGGTATTTTCTTTATTATTTGTAGGTGTGATTTTATTCTGGTGCCCACATCATTCACCAGCTTTAGTTTCGATAGCTTGGCTGATTTTTTTAACTTTTTAGTTTTGAGAGCCCCACTGCCCTTTTCCAGATATTCTGACTACAAATGAGAAAAAGAGTCAAATAAAACTCTTAAACAGTATTAACGAAATCCAATGTTATACCATTGATGCCCGCATCAGATTGCATTAGTTTAGCCAGAGGTAAATAGGAAACAGATAACTGTAAAGTACAGATTGTTTTTTTATTTTATAACAATACCTTAGTTTCAGGACGTGACCCCAACTCTTTACCTGACTTCACAGAAAATTGATGGTCGCTTCATTAATAGTTTGACATTTACATGTCTTGCCTTAGAAGGACCCAAACCTGTGTGCACCTTGCTGTCTTAAGTTAAATTACATTTGCATTTCATAATTAATCTTGGTCAACCTTTAATTAACACCCGCCTGCTTTTGGTTATTAATGTGTGCAGCTGGTGTGTTTTTCTTTTTGTTTTCGTCTTCTTAAAAACAGCTGTTTGAGTGAAAGACAAACCATGGTTAATTTAAGAGTCTGGAGAGGTCCTGTGTTTATGTGTGGTTGTTTTTTTTTCTACCAATCTTGAAAATCAAATGGATGTGATTTAAAAATGTCACGATGAGACAAATCTCATACTGTATCTCCGCATGTCGTCTCGGCTTCCAAACAGACGCGATTGGCCTTCACAGCTTCATTGTGTTACTTACTGGTGTTCTTCAATCAGAGACCTTCCCTGATTTACACAAGTTCCTGTCTGAAAGCAGCAACACATGTATTGACAGTCTGATTTAATAATTATGCAGCTGTGTGTGAGCCTCAGGACCCTAACACACACCTAAGCACTCGCATCGAATCAGTGCTGTGTCATATTGTGTGTGTTTTCAACAACACCTTTAGAAAGCAGAAGGACAAACAGCCTGATTTCAAAGCTTGTCTATACTTTTCATATTATATCTTTATGCAGAAGTTAATTACAAAAAGCTGAGATACGGGAAACACATTTTGTGATTCATGTTACCTTCACTGATCTGTGACATGTTGACCCCTTTCATACTGCAATGTAAGCCAGAATCATTCTAATGATGGATGCCAAAGGTAAAAGTAATACAACAAATGTCATTATGAGCCAGAATATGGTTCGTCTTGTATTTCTGTTTCTTCTTTTTTTAATGACAAGTCTCCTGTGGAAAAGAGAACTGCGTCTACTGTGTGAACATTGTGCAACAAACATCCCAGAAAAGTGATTCATGTTTGAGAAAGTTTCTGAGAGGATGCAAAGTGCAGGGTCAACTCTATAGTGCACCGTACAGCATCTGTGGATACCCTTTTGTTCGGAGTACAGCCAGGCAGAAAATCATTTAGCCTTTGTCACATTTACTGTTGTATCCTTTAAAAACACAACCTTGGACACCTGCTGCCAGATCAATAAGAGAGTTGTCCTGAAGTATCGACCTAAAAGCCTCTGCTGAGTGCCACCAATGAGAGGCTGTTTAGAGTTGTGTTATCTCTGTAAAACTCTTTATGATACTCTGTTAAAGAGGATGTTTTATATATTTCTAATACTGGGAAATCCTTATATGTCACTTTTCTCAGCTGCCAAGGTGTGCTTTGTCTGGAAATGTTTATTTTTGCACTTTAATGAGCAAAGTCCCATGTTCTCTTCTCCGATATTTCGGCACTAACAGGCTAACTTTAGGGGTATAACCAATTATTTTACATCAGCAACAACCTTTTAAACATCTTTATTGCTTTACCCAGAGAGGGTTTGTATTGATCTGAATGGAAACACAACATTTTTAGGAGTAATCATGCTATTGTAGTCACAGTGACTATATATGCTAGCAGCAGGTATAATGTTATAATGCTTACATTGACAAGCCGAAAGGACAAACAGAAATGTTGACCAAATGGCATTGCCATCCATTCAAACGTTGTTGAGAAATGTCTGGGATATTAACGTCATTGTAGTGCGAATGGTTTGAGTGAATTTTGGCAAAATAATCTTTTGGTTGTTCCACCAGTCTGGTCCAAATTGAGATATCTCATCAACAGTTGGACGCAGGGCCGTGACATTTTGTTATTTTAGTTTATGGTCCTTGGTGGATGAATCCTAAACATGTTGGTAGGACCCAACCTTTTCTTCCAGCGCCACCAGCAGGTTCCCATCTGTGGTTCCCTGTGAAATTCTGCCATGAAATTTGATGCAGACTCATGATCTTTGTGAACTCCGATGACCCCCTAACTACTATCACTGCAATGGAGCTCAGCAAGGGAAGTAGTTAACTTTGTATCAAACATATCGTGAACTTTTGAAAGTGACTTACTCTCGCTGCTGAGGCCTCACTATCTCAGCTAAACTTTGAAAACAGAACATCAACAACAACAACAGTGACATCTCTCCCACTGGAGTAGCATCAGGACGGGTTTTCTTCAGCTGCAGTCTAAATGGGGGGGAACAGATGCAACATCCCATACATCTGGACCAACAAGTCCTCCAACTCTTACGACCAAATGGGCCGATTGTTCATGCCCTTATTACGACCAAATATGTCGTTTGTTCAAGCGCTTAAGGCGAGACACCCCAGGTGAATAGGGTAATTTTTGTAACTTAAAGGTATCAGCTAGAGATTTCTCCAGTTAATTACTACCCTATTCACCTGGGGTGTCTCGCCTTAAGCGCTTGAACAAACGACATANATCTGTTCCCCCCCATTTAGACTGCAGCTGAAGAAAACCCGTCCTGATGCTACTCCAGTGGGAGAGATGTCACTGTTGTTAGTTTAGTTTTTAGTTTTTTATTAGGATCCCCATTAGCACTAGCATGAGCATTGGCTATTCTTCCTGGGGTCCTCACCCACACAAAACATACATAATACAAACCAGAACAGAACAACTCATCATTTCATGAAAAGTGCATGGTAAGGAAGTGAAAGCAAAAACAAAACAGA